TCATTACACCATATAAGTATTTTATATAGGTAGCTCTAGGAGACGTAAATTAAAGACCATATAGTAAGGGTTATAGCAGGCTGCGGAGATAACACTCTATCACCAGGGTGGTATAGGAACCACTTATCTTCCCAAACCCATCATATTATCATTTCTCATTCACCATTTCAACCCCTCCATGAGTAATTGTCTCTTAGTTAGAATATTACACCATGTGTGACTCGGTCGAGTTCCAGCGAAAGCATTAAGAAAATCCCTATTACAAAAGTACTATGCTTTAAAAAGTCTGAATAAGAGAGAATTCTATTAGTTAGGAGCCTCCAAACCTATTTTACAAGTTCTACCTTATTAAAACACATAAAGTCTTTAAAACTCAGTTTTTACTGAAATTTGGAGGAACAAAGTATCATCCATCGAGTCTAGTGATTTCTCTCCTTCATGTTTACCCCATCAAAAACCTACAATAAGTCTTTTCAAGTTGTGTAGATATAGATTTTAGTAGTAGGAACATAGTCATCATATAAAATTTGAAGTTGTGTACATATAGATTTTGGTAAAAAGAGCATAATCATCATATAGATTTAATCAAGACATTCTTTTTAATATTATAGACATCAAAAGGTAGAAGTGTGTAAGTTAACATTTCATGTTAATAAATAAAATTAATAATTAATATATATAGATTATTTTTAAGGAAAGAGATTTAAATAAACCGAAGAAAAAAAGAAGCAAAAATAGAATAGTCATGATGGAGACATTGACATTTAATTCCAAGCAAGATATTTTGCACTCTAGTTGTCTTTTTCTTTTTTGACTCTTCCCCGTCTTACATCACATCAAAAACTATTTCAAGGGAGGTGGGTAGAGGGTCCAGTTGCTTTTGCAGCTTAAATGTTGGGTTTAAAGGGCTTAATGTATGTGCCCAAATTTAAAAGAAGATTGGACTTGACTTGGGTTTTAACTGAAATTTTTGGTGGAGTATAAACTAAAATGTTGGGTTGGGATCAATTAGGGTTTCAAAGCAACTTTGGGTCTTGAATTTTGAAAAAAAAAAAAAAACACTAGGTTGGAACTAGCCTGGTTTGAAGTGACTGGGTTTGGGTTAAAATTCCAGAGCTAAGAGTTTCAAAATAGGTTTAATTTGAAATGGGTATTTTGAAATGAAAACTAAAATACTTATAAATATATACAATTTTAGTTATCATCCGTTCAAATTTTAAAATGAAATGATGCTACCCAAAAAATGGAGAAAACCAAACAAACAACCGATTAGCTAAACTAATTTGTCTAATCGAATTAGTTTTCTCAATTAATTTGGTTAAAATGAAATAATGCTTGTGATTAATGTATCAGATTTATAAGCTGGTGAATAGCAATTGAAATTTATATTTATTATTCCACTCAAAAAGCAATATATATTTTTTTATATTATTGTTTATAAAATTTTTTAGCTAAAAACTCCCTCTCAAAATTCAAATTCCTTTCCAATCTTGAACACGAATTTCATCCAGTTTTATTTGTACCATAACAACAATGATCAAATCAGTCACCATACCTATTGATCCATGGATCTAATATAATGAACATTTTTATATTGCCGAGATGTATGTGATGCTACAATTTTAAACAATCGCAATATCGGACTTGACTGTCCATTTTTATTTTTCTCTGAATATCTTTAGTTTCTATTAAATTTATTCTATATTCACATTTTTATTGGAAAAAATTGAAATCATCAGAAGTATGTAATTGGTTTCTTTAGGCTATTTTTTAAACAAATAAAAGGAGTTACTAAAATTCATTTGTAAATTTATATGTAGTTAATACATAAATGTTATTAAATGTAACAAAAATAAGTCTCACATAAAATTTCATGTAATTTTTTTAAAAAAAAAAAATTCTGTCAAAAATAATTTTCATAAAAGAATTTAAAATGAATTGTTGTAATCCGACATAAAAGTCTGTGAGTTCAGTTTTCAGTGTGTTAGAGATTAATTTAAAATGAATTATTTACCATAGCCCCATTACATAAAATTAACTTATCAATTATGTTATAACCCTTTTTCTCCCGGAACAACTAACTATTCAGTTCAATCCTCATTCCACTAAGAATGGAAGCCACAAGCAAAATTGAGAAACCTACAAAATTTTACTACAACCCTTCCCCAAGAAGAAGAAGAAGAAGAATAAGAAAACCAACACTCTTGTAAGGCATGGAAGATTGGTAACAGGAACATCGGATAATCTTACTATTCGGGTTCAAATTGATAGTTAACTGGAAAATTACCCAATTCCCCGATAAGAAATATTGCGATAATATTGAAAACAATTTTTTTCTAGAAAAATAAAATCAATAGAGACAACCATGAGCGATGCTGTTGATTAGTGTGGGGTAAAAGTTGAAGCAATTTACAAAGAGATTAAAAGCAGACTTCTTTTTCATCACCTTTGAACTCTGCCCTCCAAAAAAATCCTGGCCAGAATCCACTAACAGCAGCATCCTGAGTACAAAATCCGAATAGTGCCTGCAAACGATTGTATCAGTAACTAACACCAGTTTATTATATGCATAAGAGTTGCAGGAACAACAAAGACACCAAATGCACAAGTTAATGAAATTAGAAACAGGAAAGACCAAACTATATATATATATTTTCGTTTTAAATATATATATATACGAGTGGCAATTGAAAATAAAAGCAAACTTAGAAATAATAGGGTAATTTACATTGAAGTTCTTGTAAAGTTTGGACATGATTACAAAAGTACTTTTAAGGTTTTGGAAAATAACAACATAATCATTTCACCATTTTACTTTTAAAATTTTTGAAGAAAAAACCAAAATAAATTCATGTATACACTATATATTAGTGCACTCTTATTTGTATTTTCCCCCTTACCATATTAACTAAAAATATAACTCTTTTTGAGTATTTTCTCAAACACAATTACTTATCATATAATTTTTTATTCTTTGATAATCACGTGACTATTACATAACGGATTAAACTATTTTGTGATGTTTATTAAGAAATTATATTTAGTTTGAAGGTATATCTCTATGCAAATACTAATTTTATTCTCAAAAACTATGAACCGTGTTTACAGCATACCAAAACCTTCGCAACTGTTAATTACAGAATGACTAATATTATATAACAGAGTTGAATATCATATAAATAGGCCATTATGTCAAATCAACCGAAGTAGACATTATACATTGCCTTCACATCTAATGAAATCTAAAATATAGATAAGAAAGAGGAAAGCAAACTCTCATACAGCAACATGATGAAGCTCAATAATTATAGTTCTTCAGTTGAGGACTTCACCTCTCAGCCCAAGTCCAAGGATAAAATCCTTGGCAAGAATCGGCCAGAATTTAAACTATGGCGAGTTTCAATTCAAATTAATCCAAAGACTTATATAAAGAACCAGCCGGTTCTATTTGTTTTCACCAGTTATTGATCTAAACAGTCTACCAAAAAAGAACTGGACTAGCTTGGTTTCACAGTCAGCCTTAACCGACTTATAAAAGTACCATGCATGACTTGAAGGCATTCAAGGCTTTTTCTTTAACTCTGCATAGCAATCAATATGCATGCAAGTATCTATATGCTTAAGTACCTGTACAGGAGTTGCATCAACACAAGACTAGCTTTTAGCCAATAAGTAGTACTTTTTGCGGGTCAAGTTGTCCACTACAATAACTGGAAGGAACAGCAGAAAGTTCCTGTCTCCCTCTCCACTCTTCACCAGGTTTCAAGGTAATTGGCTTTTCAATACAGGCAGCCTCTACACACAGCATATGCTTAAATTCATCGTCTCCAAAATCAGACAATGCTTTTGCTTTCTTATCCCATGGATTCCACACCACTGCACATATAAAGTAACTAATAATGCTTATAGTTCTTTCTTGGTTTTGCAAAAAAAAAAAAAAAAAACATAAAACAAAAATGTATACTCTACATTGATTTGTTTATTGGTAATTTTGTGAATAACTAAACTATTACAGAGAAGATAAATCAGAACACTTTCTTAGAAAAAGCGTCACAGAACAAGTGATGCACGACAAACTTCTGCAATTTCACAATCACTAGTAAATAAGCAAGCAATGAACAACACTGTTTCAGCAAAGTTTAAGGTAAAACTAGAACAGATTAAGAGGGGAAGAGATAAAAGAGAAAAGTGAGGGCAGAAAGGAGAGGGAAAAGAGGAATAAAGGAAAAGAAAATGGTTGCATAAAGGGAGAGAAACCAGTTTTGTTTTCTTTTGAGATAAGAGAGAAACCAAATTTTAGAAAAAGAAATGTTTCAATTCTATTCCACTAACCATTGTCATCCTCATTGAACCCAATCTCTTCATATAGGCAGAAAATACAGGTGAAAAAGCCAATAGTAATTTAGATGTTATTCTTTCTCCACATAATGATACTTCTTTTTCTATCCAAAAGAAAAAGCCAACAGTAACTTTGTAACTAGAAACAGTTGGCCGACTAATATTACTAGCCTTTTTGCACATTGAGAAGGAGGACAAGTTCGCAACTTGTGGTTGCCACCTTGGTTGGCCACCATCTCTAGACCTATGAAAAGGTACAAGTTGAAAACTTGTGATTGCCACCTCCTTCGAATCACAAGGGTCAATACAAATAAGGTGCTCCACCATTCACAAGTGAAGGATTTCGAAAATCTTCTTTATCACAAGTTTGATGAATATTATTGAAAAGGGTTGGAGTGAGAGCTTCAATCTCTTTAACTTGTTCATCATGATGTGAATTAAAGGAAGTTGAACATCTTTACCACAAGCTTAATCAAGATTGTAGAAAAGGGCAGGACAAAGAGCTTTAGTTTCTTTGATTTGTTCCTCATGTACATGACTAAAGAGGCTTTGGTCTTTTTACCACATTGTTTTGGCTTGGTGATAGAATTAACTTTATCCAGGCTTGTTTATCTAGTATTCCCTTATATTTCTCTCTCTCTTTATAATCCCTAAGGGGGGTGGTTATGGCATTTAAGAGGATCATGATGAATTTTTAATGGTCTAGAGTAAGGAAGACTTTGAGAGATCATCTGGTTCATTTGCCTTTCCAAAGAAGATGGTGGATCCATTTAACAGATATAAAATTCTTTTTGTACATGGATTTTGCACCGCCTTGGTGCATGTAATTAATACACATCACACTTTTTATTTCAAAAAAATTGCTTTTGGTGTTTCCCTTTGGATTCATATTCTTTGAGGCACAAGGTAATCAGAGTAAGTATGGGTTGCAGTAGAATGGATGGGATTCAATAGCCAGAGTACCTGGACTCCTTGTTTAAAGGTAACGAGAAGCCCTGGAAAGCCATTTACCAACTTTATGGCATATTCTTCCCTTTTACTTGTCTAAAAGTGATGGTTCCCATATTTGTTTAGGAAGATCTCTAGATCAGGGATATCCCTTATTAATTGTTTTCCTCACCTTTATAGCTTTTTCTCAGTGTCTTCATTCTCCCATCTATCATTTTCTCAAATAGTTGGATGATCAAATCTCTTGGAAGTTATTTTCTTTAGAATCTTAATCGTTGAGAATCCGATGACATAATCTCTCTACTCAACACCCTTGAGCCTTTTTGCACCTCTTTACACCTCAATAGTACAATTTCAATCTTGGAGTCTATTAGTGTGCATTTTTGCAAGTCTCTGTTTTTCCATTTCACCCATATTCCTTTACAACAATGAGACTTTCTTTCCACATTTTAGAAGGCCAAAATTCCGTCTCTTAGGTTAAGGTTGTTATTCGGACAACCTTTTTGACAACCCTCAACACCAATGATCTATTGCAAATTCCCAAGCCTAATCGCACACTTTCCCTCTGTGTGTCATGGCAACTGAATCTCATAGTCACCTGCTTTACACTATTAGATGGCTTAGAGGCTTTGATCTGGCCTTTTTGATACTTTTCTTTCTTGCTGGGTTTCTCCCCTTTCCCTTGAATGTTCCTCTCTTATTTTCCTAATGGAAGGGGGGTTGGAGGAAGTTGATCTGTTATGGAGAAGAGCTCCCTTCGCTGGTTTGTAGGTCTTGTGGTTAGAGTGTATTGATAGACTTTTCAAAGATTGTTATAATCATCCATTGCTGATTCAAGATGCAATGGTTTTTTTTTTTTTTTTGCTACTTTTTAGGGGACAGCTCAAGGTTTACATCATTGATGTCCCTTTTTTTTGGCTATCTTGTAAAGGGACTGGGATTCAGCATTTCCTTTAATAGTTTTCTTTTTTTAATTTTTATGAGGATTCCTTGCCTCAACTTTGTACTTTTTCTCCTCTTTCTAATAATACTTCTCTCCTCAGTAAAAATAATTATATTCATAAATTTTGTTTTTGGCATAAAAAGTGACTTCCAGAAATCAAAACCTGCCTATTTATGTGTGTGATTATATATGTCCACACATGTGATCATAAATGTCCCTTTGAGATGAAAAGAAATTTTTAAAGGATATGTACAGTACTTCTTTTTAGATAAAAAGGATATATATAGTACTTACCAAATGGTTGTAAAACATTCTTAGAACAGTCTTTAAACTTTAATTACTCACCTGCATCTGGAAGACCATCCTTCCGCAAGACAAAGGTTCTCTTCCTTTCATGATCCAAAATAGCAATTTTAGTAGGTGTACTGAGATATATCTTGTCCACCTTTGCAATATAAAGAATGAAAGTAATGAGAGATGTTAGAATAAGTAGCAATATAAGCATCATGATAGAAAATAATAATAATAATGCATTCTGATGAAGAACCAAAAACTAACTTCCGACTCAAATGTTATTGCATCCCCTTGTTCAGTAAATCGCTCTTTATCTTTCAGGTTATCAAGATAATCCAATGTCTCTAGCCCTTCTACCCGCACTTCACTGAACATAATCAAAAGCCAGAAAATGGTTAAAGAATGCAGCATGAACAATCTTCAGCAAATCTAAATGTACTCCTCGTGCTTTTATCAACAAAAAACTTTCGTTCTACATTATATTCAGTAAATATTTTGTTTAAATACTTGGGGCAGGGTATGTTGCGTGAGAACTTTGAGCATGGTCAGGCGTTAAAGCTTGTAAATCTAGGAAAATTTTCTTTAATCTCATTCTTACGTCAATTCTGTGGGTCATTATGGAGAGAAATAGATAAGAGAGAGTTTGAGGGCATTTGCACTCCTTTCTCAGTGGACTTAGAGATTATTGGTTTCATTCTCTAAGTCTTTTGCTAACAGGGTATTATGTTTCCTATGAGAGGATTTATGGAACCTTCTCAAATTTATACCTGTCTTACCCAAGACCATAATTGTTATCAGCTCCCTCTTTTTTTGAGATAAAAAGTATGGTGGGATTCGTTCCCTTAGAAGCACCAAGAAGGTACGAGTCCGTTTATAAAAAATATTTACATGTCAATCAAAATATCAATAAGTTTCTCAAAATCCTCCATTATGTAAAGAGGATGATCTGTAATGAAAAAAAACTTAGGGTCTGGAATCATTTATCTCTAACCCTATCCAAGTCGTCTTCCAACCTCTCAAAAACTCTCTTATTCCTCTCTTTCCGCACTACCCAAAAGATAACAAAGGAGAATGAAACTCACATGTTTCTTCCCTCTATTAATGCCCTTCAAGCCC